TTGCATGCAGGGCATTTTGCTGCTGCTGCTGCTGCTGCCCCACACCTATAGATGCAGCCAATGATGTCAATACACGAGAAGAACCTTGAACCTAACAGCAGCAGCAGCAGCAGCAGCAGCAGCAGCAGCAAATAAAGCAGCAGCAGCAGAAGGAGACTAACGAGTTGCATAGTCTTAGCAGCAAAAGGGGAAGGATGCAGCAGCAGCAGCAGCATCAATACAAACAGCATAAGCACACCAATATAAACAGCAGCAGCAGCAGCAGCAAAAGCAGCAGCAGCAACAGCAGCAGCAGCAACAGCAGCAGGAGGAGACGTACAAGTTGCATAGCCTTAGCAACAACAGAGGAAGGCTGCAGCAGCAGCAGCAGCAAATTATGCTCAATAAGGAAAGGATATCCATAATCAGCAGCAGCATCTACTAATAAATAAATTAAGCTATAATTTTTTTTTATTAATTCTTCTGTTAATATATCATTGTTGCTGCTGCTGCTGCTGTTGTTGTTGCTGCTGCTGCTGCTGCTCAGGGTACCTATTGGGCTGCTGCTGCTGCTGCTGCTAACTGTGCTTATTGTGCTGCAGCAGCAAACGCGGCATAAATGCTGATATATTTCATGCAGCATCTCTAGTACTAATAAGGGCTCCACCTGCAGCAGCAGCAACAGCAGCAGCAGCAGCAGCAGCAGCAAATGCAGCAGCAGCAGCAGATGCAGCAGCAGCAGCAGATGCAGCAGCAGCAGTAAATGCAGCAGCAGCAACCAGGGATCAATAGCACACTCATACGTACACTAGCAGCAAAAACAGACACAGCAGCAAAAGCAAAGGCAACAGCAGCAAAGGTAGCAGCAGCAGCAGCAAAGGTAACATCAGCAGCAGCAGCAGCAGCAGCAGAGGGTTTATAAGTAGTAAGTATACCTCTGCTGTGCATGCAGCAGCAAGTAGTAGTTTATTGCGGTGTATATGGACCAATACAGATTTTTTGCTGCTGCTGTTGCTGCTGCTGCTGCTGCAGCAAATTATACGAGGGGTAGTATGTATTGCCTTCCCTTGCTGCTGCTGCTGCTGCAGCTGCTGCAGCAAAGGCTCGCATGCAGCACGGCTTACACGACCCCTATAATGCTTCTCCAACAAAAAGGACCTGCAGCAGCAGCAGCAGCAACAGCAACAGCAGCAAGGGGAGCAGCAGCAGCAAGGGGAGCAGCAGCACAAGCAGCAGAAAAATATCAATCGTAAACATCAAGCTGCACAAATCCTGCTGCTGCTGCTGTTGCTGCTGCTGTTGCTGCTGCTTCTAAAGTTGCTGCTGCTGCTGCTGCTAACGGTGTTGCTGCTGGTGGTGATAAGGGTGCTGCTGCTGCTTGTGCTGCTGCTGCTGTTGCTGCTGCTGCTGCTGCTTGACGTACCCCGCATCGTTAAGAATGAATAGGGAGTCCATCCTCCACACACGGATAGCTGCAGCAGCAGCTGCTGCTGCTCCTGCTGCTGTTGTTGCTTCTGCTGTTTCTGCTGCTGTTGCAGCAGCTGCTGCTGCCGCCGCTGCTGGGGTAGCTGCTGGGGTAGCTGCTGTTCCTTCTGCTGCTGGATTAGCTGCGGTTCCTTTTGCTGCTGCTTCTGCTGCTGCTGCTGCTGCTGCTGCTCACCTAAGAAGCTCGCCCGTTGCTGCTTCTGCAGGTAGAAGACAAACAGACAAAAGGAGATTCCTGCTGCTGTTGCTGCTGCTGCTGCTGTTGCTGCTGCTGCAGCATCACATCTACCACGACAACACTAGCAGCAGCAGCTGCTGTTGTTGTTTTTCCTGCTGTTGCTGCTGTTGCTGCTGCAGCACACACTGTTGATCTGACAGTCGCCTATACGTGGGATACGCTGCAGCAACAGCAGCAGCAACAAGAGCAGCAAGACCAGCAGCAACAACAGCAGCAAGACCAGCAGCAACAGCAGCAGCAGACTTAGTTACCTAGAGGATGAATACGGGTTAGTTGGTGATTTTCTCTATTGTTGTAGTTAACTCTTTTACTGTTGTTGCTGCTGTTGCTGCTGTTGCTGCTGCTGCTGCTGTTGCTGCTGCTGCTGCTGCTGTTGCTGCTGCTGCTGCTGTTGGAAGACAGCTTAAATAAATAAATGATTTGAGTTGAGTTTTGTTTAAAGAATATTATTTCATGCTGCTGCTGCTGCTGCTGCTGCTGCTGCTGCTGCGCCGAGAGCTTGTCTTGTTAAGCTGCCCTGTACTGCTGCTGCTGCTACCGCCGCCGCCTCGGCAGCAGCAGCTGCTGCTGCTGCTGTTGCTGCTACTACACCAGCCCCAGCCATAGCAACAACAGCAGCAGCAGCAGCAGCAGCAGGAGCAACGGCCTCATGCAGCAGTATGAGGTGTCTGTATAATATTTCTTGAGTTATACTTCTGCAGCAAATTCTTTTTTTTATAATCCGTCAGACCCAGCAGCAGCAGCTGCAGCAGCAGCAGCAGCAGCAGCAGCAGCAGCACGTCCGTCCTGTCGCGCTGTGCATGCCTTGCTGTATTGTTTGCTGCAGCAGCAAAATCTTTTAATCCTATATATATATTTAATTTATACAAAGAAAAGGTGCCTATACACCTAAGATCCTTAACCACACAACAGTAGTTGCTGCTGTTTTTCTTCTGCAGCAACAGCAACAGCAGCAGCAGCAGCAGCAGCAGCAGTTGTTGTTGTATTCAACGAAGGACCTGCAGCAACAATACAATTATTTGTTTGTTGTGCTGCTGTGTGCTGCATCTCTCAGTTGCTGCTCTATTGACACAGCACATCACTACAACAGCAGCAGCAGCAGCAGCAGCAACAACAACAGCAGCAGCAACAGCAGCAACAACAACAGCAGCAGCAACAGCAACAGCAGAGATGAGTGACGCAGCAGCAGAGATGACACAATCAGTTACTGCAGCAGGAACAGGTGGAGGAGTTAGTTGCTGTTCTTCTTTATCAGCAACAGCAGCAACAGCAGCAGCAGCAGCAGCAGCAGGTAGTGAAGGTTTAGGTTTATTCTCTCGTCTAAGACAATTAGAAAGACAACTTAAATTCTTAACTGTCCAGGTATTATTATATTTCCTATTCCTGCTCTTGTTGCTGCTCTTGTTGCTGCTCTTGTTGCTGCTCTTGTTGCTGCTCTTGTTGCTGCTCTTGCTGCTGCTCTTGCTGCTGCTCTTGCTGCTGCTGTTGCTGCTGCTGTTGCTGCTGTTGCTATAAATGTTTATAACTTTACACAGAAATATGCTAGAAAGATGATTTTTGTTGTATATCCCTCTCCTAATGATAATGAATCCTTTCT